TCCTTGCTATTTCCTCACTGAAAAGGATCGGGGATCTTCAGGCACTCTCTGTTTCGTGGAGTTTGCTCCAGGCATGGATAGGGCATTCCTTTACCCGAGGCCGGGTATGTCCCTAAGGTGCCCACTTCTTCACCAGGGCCCATAGTACTTCAGGCATACACATTCTGTTGACTATAAGTAACGTTGCACCTACATATCTACTGACTCTCATTAGAGTATTAGTAGAGTATTAGTAGACTGGTAGGGTTAGGGTTAGAATAAGTTGACATGTATTTGCAAAGTTACTTACAGTCAGTAGAATGTCTGTTGCGATGCCATCACAATAAAGAGTAATGTTCTAATGAGAGTTTGTTGATGTGTAGGTGCAAAGTTACTTTTTGTAGACAGAATGTTCACAAGGGACCATCAAAATAAAGTGTCACCGAAATAACTGACTTAAAACCATTTTTTAGCTGGTGAAAATACTAGCGTTCTAATAATTTTGGCCACCACTGTATATTAAAAATAAAATATACTGAATTTAATATCAAATAATATTCAACAGTTAAAATTGTAATCAAGTACTTTACACGTGCTTTAGTTTGCAGTTAGTTGGAAGTACACTACAAGTGCGCATTCAACACAATAAAGCACACACTTTTTCACATTGGTAATGTGCCACTGAAACTAATCTTGGGACACCTGGCTGTCTTTTGTAGTACTGTAAGTCTTCTAGGGTTGTATCAGCCATGGTGAAGTGATGCAGAAGCCAGGAGGATCAGCTGATATGTGTGTGTGTTTCTCATCACCTGTTCTGATGTCTTGTAGAAGGCCACGGAGGCGTTGACCAGCTTGAGTCTGTCCTCCATTTTCAGCATGAGCTGCTGCCAGTGTACTGCCACCTTCTCAGCACAGCTGCGGATGGCCTCAGGGTCGAAGTGTCCGGCCTGTAACACGATCTCGGCCTTCTGCTGCACCTGCAGAGCGCTCTGATGGGTCTTCTGAAGAGAGTTGGCGTGGAACAAAGACTACAGGGAGAGAAGAGAGAGAGAGAACAACAAGTTAAATATACCTTAGCCTGGAGGTCGACAGCAAAATCAACAAACAGTAACTATGACACTAACCAAGCCACTATCATACAGTGGTGGACCGTAATGAAGCATTTTTGCATACATTCAGATAAAGCATCTGTACACTCTAAAAAATGCTGGGTTAAATACAACCTAGCGCTGGGTAAAATATGGACAAACCCAGTGATTGGGTTGTTTTGACCCAATGGTTGGGTTAAACATTTAACCCAACTGTTGGTTGAAAACAACCCAATCGCTGGGTTTGTCCATATTTAACCCGTACTTTAAAAAATGCTGGGTTAAATATAACCCAGTGCTGGGTTAAAAAAGGGCAGATCCAGTTATTGGGTTGTTTTGACCCAGCGCTTGGGTTAAATGTTTACCCCAACATTTTGGGTAGAAACCCAACCGCTCGGTCAAAACAACCCAATCGCTGGGTCCCTTTTTAACCCAGCATTTTTTAGAGTGTAATTTATCAGGGTTTTTTTTTTTTTTGGATTGCGTAACTTTTACTTTTACAAAACAAAATATTGTACTTTTCACTGCATTACATTTACCGTTTTTTTTGCAATCATTTTGTCACCAATTTCAGAACCTTGATGTCATTTTTCAAAACTCTAGACACAAAAGTCAAAACAGACATTATTTGGACAGGCTGTCCAATGTTCAAAACTTTGCATGTTGCATAGATACGAATCTTTAAAGAAGTCTTGCATTTGCAGAATTATTGGTTCAAATAACTAATTTATCATGACATATAGAAACATTACTTTAGATCACCCACACACAAGATACCCAGAGTTTCACTGTGTACACTCTAAAAAATGCTGGGTTATTTTTTTTTAACCCAATTGCTGGGTTCAGCCAGTTGGGTCATTTTATTGGGTTATTTTTAATATTTTTACCCAGGTGCTGGGTAGTTTTTCTGTAACTAAGTTGCTGGGACATTTTTAACGCTGGGTTATTTTTTTCTAGCCAACTGCTGGGTTGAGCCTGTCTCCGACGAAACAACCCAGCTGCTGAGTTACAGTCAGATCGCGGGCTTTTTGAGTCCTAGGAGAGAGCGGTTCTCAGTGCCACCAATTTGGTGCACTTCTTCAGCGAAATAAAGGTTTGTATAAATTTTATTTCGTTTATTAAGTCTTTACTGTGCTGTATATTATATTATTTTACGCAACGCAACATAAGGACGAGATGTCAGTGTGTCAGCAGCGGTCGCTTCGCACGATGAAAACGCCTTTTGCCTTGCATAACATAAATGTATTTTATTCGTTATAATACTGAGTTTAATTTAATTTGATGTTAAAATATGTTCTCTAATCTCAGTACTGTTTGTTTATAGGCAGGTTTTGGAGTCAGTCACGGCATCTCTCAACTACGAGTGAAACGCGAGGCCGCGGTCTGAAGTTCGCAGTTCCCCGGCAAACTGTAAAGTGATTACAGAGAACGGTTGAATACACTTAAATTAAAATGCTACTTTTAAATGTTACATTTTATGTTTCTAAAATGCTCATTGAATGAGTTTAAATGAGTTTAAATGTATGTAATATTATAAATGATGCTGTATTCACCCAAATAAATGCAATTTGTCTTGTATTTTTTCAATGTGTTCTTGCTTAATAATACATGTTTTTATTATAATCTTTTGATTATTGCTGTTGTCTCTAGTAATTATGTGTGTGATTGTTTAGTTTTTTTGATTTCCAGCCCATTTTAAGGCAGCAAATATGTGACCCTGGAGCACAAAACCAGTCTTAAGTCGCTGGGGTATATTTGTAGCAATAGCCAACAATACATAGTATGGGTCAAAATTATTGATTTTTATTTTATGCCAAAAATCATTAGGATATTAAGTAAAGATCATGTTCCATGAAGATATTTAGTAAATTTCCTACTGTAAATATATCAAAACTTAATTTTTGATTAGTAATATGCATTGCTAAGAACTTCATTTGGACAACTTTAAAGGCGATTTTCTCAATATTTAGATTTTTTTGCACCCTCAGATTCCAGATTTTCAAATAGTTGTATCTCGGCCAAATATTGTCCTATCCTAACAAACCATACATCAATGGAAAGATTATTTATTCAGATTGTGTATAAATCTCAATTTCGAAAAATTTACCCTTATGACTGGTTTTGTGGTCCAGGGTCACATATAATAACTTTTAAACAATAGTTGACTTAAATAAAATGTAATAAACTCTTAAATCACAAGAATTAAAGGAGACAGATAATTAAAAGTAAACAACTATTAGAGTAGATAATTTGAGCATCTTGTATGGGATATCGTCCAGTGGCCCTCCTACTACAGACCGCTGACAGCTTTAGGTTTTCTACAGTCAAACGCCGGCCTGTGTTTTGTCTGCTGGCATTGTCATGATGAAGGAAAATATAAATCTAACTTTAATAGTCAGCTATAGACATTTACTAGCAGAGTTGCGCAGGTAGAACCTCGTCCAAAGCAGGAAATAGAGACCGCTGCCAAGGCCTGTGATGAATGACATGACTACTGTACTGAGAGACACAGACTGATAGCAGAAAGCACGAGTCATTCCTTTGCTTTGCTTGAAAAAATCTTAACACTAAAACGGTTGAGAGTGAATATTGTCTGCCAGAATCTGCCCTTATATCACCAACTTTTCACAGCACTCTCAAAAGAAAAAGCCGTGAATTGCAGTAAAAACAGCGGAGCGGCTCTAGACTGTCTGTGGGTCATAAATCCTTCAGGAGAATGTTATGATCCCTGTGTGAAATTCTATGAATGGACAATTCCTGCTGGATCTGTTTGGAATATCCTCAGAGTAATCACTTCCATACATCCCATGTTAAACTGTATGCTGAGAGCACAGAGAAGGAAGGTTTTTGACTAAAATGCAGACACATTTTATGTTGATAGATGCTGATATGTAAATGTGAATGTGATTTCTGAACATTTTAGACTCCATAGACGATCTTTTTGGACAGGCGAGGGATTTTTAGTGCATTTTTGAGTATGTCTACACAGCACATCAAACTACTCCTGTTTTTCTTTTTCCTTTATATGACCTTTAAAAAAGAACAAGAGAGATTGAAAGAAAGAAAAAGAGAGAGAAAGATGGGGATGTCATTATATTTGTATAATGACAAAGGTATGACATAGGTATTACAAGGAGAAGGTGACTTTTCAGGACATTACCCCATGTCCCCACTTTTCAAAACGCTTTTAAATCACACAGAATGGAGTGTATTGAAAATCTGAAATAGCACAAAGTTTCCTGTAAGGGGTAGGTTTAGGGGTAGGGTTGGTGTAGGACAATAGAATATACGGTCTGTACAGTAGAAAAACCATTAAGCCTATGGGATGTCCCCACTTTTCACAAAAACAAACCTGTGTGTGTGTGTGTGTGTGTGTGTGTGTGCGTTTTTGTGACAAATGAGGACATAAATTTCTATAATAACAAGGGTATGACATAGGTATTACAAGGAGAAGGACTTTTCAGGACATTACCCCATGTCCCCACTTTTCAAAACGCTTATAAATCACACAGAATGGAGTGTATTGAAAAT